AGGGGCCTTCATACTCAGAATAGGGTTTTAGGGTTTAGGGGCCTGTATCGTTAGAATAGGGTTTTAAGGTTTAGGGTTTAGGGGCCTTAATTAATAATTAGAGTAAGGCTAGGGTTTTGGGCTCCTTAATACTACAATGATAATAATAATAATAACAATAATAATAATAAGGGACCCCAAACAATAATATTGGTAACCTACCGAGGCTCCAAAAGCCCCCTCTAAGAAGACAAGGGCGTAGGGATTTCGAGCTTCAGGGTTTAGGGTTTAGGGTTTAGGGTTTTCAGGGCTTTCCGAAACCTCCTGGCAAAAATCGACGTCGACAGTCCACACACAGGCTGGCCCTTGCTTCATCCTTTGAGCCCAGTACCCTGGCCCAAAAAAAATTAAACTTTTCTTTTTGGTAGGGGTTTAAGATACCAAAAAAGTTTAAAGCTTACCTATTGGGCTCCTAAGTCATGCGCTTGCAGGGCAAGACGACGAACTTCTGGGTCTGGGTTTAGGGTTTAGGGTTTAGGGTTTAGGGTTTAGGGTTTAGGGTTTAGGGGGCTTTCTGGTGCCCTTAACCCTGACCCGAAACCCTGAGCTAAGGTCATGCCCAAGGAAGTAGCAGAGGGGGTCCAAACGCCAATGCTTTAGTCCCGAACCCTTCGCGCTTTTTAGAGGGTTTGAAAGGGCTCTGTAAGGGCTTGTAAAGACTGTACAGTACAGGGATTCGAAGGCTTTAACAAGGCGGTTACAAGGCTTTGGGTGGTTTCTAGGGTTTTTCAGGGTGTATACAAGGGATGATAATGTGGGCTCTATTATTGCTGTGTAGGTCGAGGGTTTGTGGTTTACACTGAGGGTTCAACCTTAGTTCAGTCTACAGAAGAACCCTAAACCCTGAACCCTAAACCCGAAGGCTTGTCGCAAAGTGCGGAAGTGGCAGGCCCTAAACCCTAAACCCTAAACCCTAAACCCTAAAATAGTGCCAAGGACGACCTTCCGCAGCCGCAAAATGCGAAGCCCTCAGACTCCAAAACCCCCGAAATCTGAGCCCTGAATCCAAAACCGTGAACTCAAAACTCGAACCTAAATCCTAGAACTCCCAAATTTCTCAACCCTAACCCCTAAAGCCCGAAAAACTGGAGCATCTGGAAGCTGAGCCCGGGACAAGGTTCGCCATCGAGAAAAGCTTGAAAGCGGATGCGTCAAAGCCTAAACCAACTGCTTGGGCCAAAAGCTGCGCGGTTCAGGGCCGTTTAGGGCTTGGGCTTGGGGTTTAAGATTTAGGGTTTAGGGTCTCTGGTTTGTGCAGTTGAGGATTTAGGGTTAAGGATGTCGGGCGCTCCGGGGGGGGGGGTATGGCCTTGTCCTTAGAGTCGAGGGCCCCCCTTGAATTGTTAAAACCACCGGTTTAGGGTTTAGGGGGTTAGGGTTTAGGGCCCTGGTTTGCTTTTGGGCTTTAGGGCCTAAGACCTAAAGAGTTCAGGGTTGCGGCAGAAGAGACTACAACCTGAAGGCAAAAGACGAAACCAATGTACAACATCGCTCCATTAGATAGACTCCGAGTGATTTTCTATCGCTAGGTTTGTGAGTTTTGAAGAAATACTGGGAGTTATGTATGCTCTGCAGAAGAGTCCAGCCGCACCTGCGTTTGTGTCAAACCAATCACATCGTATATTTGAGAGCTCATGGCCAGGTGCAAACAAGACTCCTCTAGTTTTCGTTCTGCCGCCCTCCTTCCCCCGAAACCCTAAACCCGAAACCGCAGAGTGGTTGACACATCTGAGCTTCACAGCTTTGGGAATCGGAGCTCCCTGCCCAAAAGCGGTTAACCTTTGATGATGACAGCTTCTTTGTACCAAAAAGTTAGAGGCTGAGTGAGTGCCTTAGCCCACCCAGCCACCCAAGAAAACAAGGTTAAAGGCCCAATACTCAGCTACCAGGCGTAACCCTAAACGCCAAACCCAAAGCTCTAAATCAAACCCCAAAGCCCTGGCTTCATCCCTGAACCCTAACCCCTAGACCAAATGCCCCAGTCCCATGTAAGCTTCCGGCCCCTGAGCCCTAAACCCCAAACCCTGAACCTTAAACCTCAAACCCTGAACCTTAAACCCTAAACCTGAATTTGGGGCAGTCTCTAGGGCCCATGAACAAAACCGCCGCCGGCAAAACACGAGGTCTCGATCGTCCTCGGTCTGCGGGGCTTTTCTTTTGTGTGATCCCTAAAAAAGGGATTAGGGTTTAGGTTTTAGGCTTGTAACCGAGGCGCCTTTAAATGCAGGGTTTTATGTTGCGTCATATGTCCCTCTATATTATGTAATCTAGGCGCCTTATAATGTTTAGAACAGGGTTTTATGTTGTTTCGTATGTGGGTCTATGGGGTGCTATAGGGTCTTTCAAGGGCCTGCTGCAGGGGCCTTAGTAGCGAGAAGAGGGCTTTGGGGGTATGTATGCCGTCTTTCAGTTGGAGTAGTGCAAGGGGAGGGCTGGCTACGGTTTAGAGTAACATAGAGGCCTTAATAATTAGAATAGGGTTTTGGGCCCCATTATACTACAATTATACCCAGCAGCCCTCCAAAATTGTATACCAAATTATTTGGGTCCCTACATTAGCGGCTTGAAGTTGCAGGGCCTGGGGTTGCAAGTTTGGAGTTTAGGATTGGGTTGAGATTTTCTAAACATATTATGGGGGAAGAATATTTTTCCCCCACTAAACATATTCTAGGGGAAAGAATATTTTTTAGCCTGCACCTTAAACCCTAAATCCCTGCCCGCATGGCTCAAGAATCTTGAGCCATATAAACCCTGAGCGATAAACCCTAAACCCCAAGACTCAAACCGAATCATTTCAGCTCCAACCTAAACAATGTGGTTCCGAAAATGAGGCAAACAACTGCAACCTAGACGACTGTATAAGACAGATGGCACCAGAAACAAGCTCTTCGACCCCTTCATTAAAACCATGTAGGAAGAACTGCTGAAAGCATGTACATAACCCCAGACCCAAACCCCTAAACTCTACACCCTAAACCCCAAACCTGACTTCGACTGAATGAAAGACCGTCTAAGCACCCCTCCGGAATGCCATCAGGATCCACTACCTGAGTGACACAATAGCATTACTCGCAACGCCAGGAGTAAGTGACAGTAGCAACGGCAATATCAAGATCAATGACTTCTAGTTCTGTGTATATGCCTTGTTGCATCGGCGGAAGACGTAGTTGCCGACATCGCTTGAGGCTCAGGGCTTTCTTGGCTCTCGCGCATCTCGCGCCGTGACGAAACAGTCAGAAGAACCTTTGCTTCTGCCTGCTCTGCGGCAACTCAAAAATCTGAAGCCCGTGTCTGATTTCAGAAGAAATCTATAGGGCGTGCTCAATCAAGATTCTCCCTGGATTCCACACGAAATTCAGAGGGCCCGCGGCAATCAACGCAACGGCACCTTACATGCTCGCCTGATTTTGGCGCTGCCTGTGGATTTTCTTCGATCCTTTCCAGAGCGGTGCTTGCGCTGTCCGTCGCTGGCCTCACCGCAGCAACTATGACATCTTTCACACTCAAGCAGGATCCCCATGTCACACGCACGCGGTCCGCGTCGAGCCTGCGAACTACGTTTGCTCTGACATGACCTAATCTGAGACGAACTTCCTTGAACTGCATGAAACCTTTCACCGAACATTGCATTCAAACCCTGCCCCAAAGTCGGAATCTGCAAAGCCGAACACGATAGACCAGAACACCTCAAAAGTAGGGTTTAGGGTCTAGGGCTTGGGGCTTAGGGTTTAGGATGTAGGTTGAGGGTTAGGGGTTTAGGGTTTAGGGTTTCTGCCTCAAAAACACTGCACTCTAATCTCTGCAGCCTGAAACCGAAAAGCACAACAGCCAGAAACCCAACACCACAGCTTACATTATTCCCACACCCCGCTATCCGAACCCCACGATCCCGAAGCACTGAAAACTCTAAAAAAATGGTGATCAGAAGGAAAGCTGACGGAAGGAAACAGGTTTAGGGCTCAAGGGTTAGGGTTTAGGGCCTACGGAACCAACACACCCCCCGACTGAACACACAACTTCTGCCAGGCTACGTGGTCCAGGAGGATGGCTAAGATCTCGTCAAGCCGGAGACCTGTTCTTTTCTATACTTCCTTTGTTGCTTGGGTTTAGGGCTTGGGGTTCGGGGAGACTAGCGTAGATAAATTAACTAGAATAGGGTTTGGGGTTTAGGGCCTAGGGTTCACTAGAAGCTGTGTCAATATTCATAGTAGAAGTATTTGAGGGAAGCCTTCGGACTTGTGTTCCCAGGTTTTTCAAGCCTCTATCGGGCTCAAAATTAAAAGCTTCGCAGGCTTACCCGCTCTTCGGGCTGGGCTTATTTGCATGAATGCAGGGGCCTTGATCAGTAGAGTCCTGTTTGTGGGTAGATAACAGTATAAGTATATCGGGGACCGTACAGGAGGGAACCGTTACTGCTTACCTCGTGCGGCTTGCAGATTCCCGCGCAAGATGCCACAGAAGGCTCTGGGACACCCAGTCGATGCATGCGCTTCGTCTGCTGCCTGTGGCACAGCGCGGTCATGATGCGCAAATAATGCGCATCACTCGCCGAGCAGCCTTCGCATGCAGTCCAAGCCAATCCTCGTACCGGATGGGGGTGCTGAAGCGGAGGCGGCGCACCGGCAGGTCGTGCTGAACGCGTGATGACCGTAGTGATGCACCGGCTACTCCCCGCCGAGGACTCGCTTATCGCTGATCACTGTCACATTCTAATAGCCTTGATGGAGGATGCCGACACAGGCACTGAAAGCGTCGTGAGCCCAAATGCCCCGTGGTGGAACAACGAACATAGAGCAAGATTATCAAGACTTCTTGGTGCCCGCTACTAATACCCATAACCCATCTTAGTAGCTCTTCTTGCTAAGTCAAATGAGTGTCCAAGTGAGGGATGTAGAGTCCGTGTCAAGTAGAGATACGGTTGATGATGCAAGTCCTGCATTACCCTTAATGAGGACTATAACATAATTCCCATAGTTCGGGGTCCTTCAGCTAATGCAGGATTTCTATCATCAACAGCAGTACAACAAAGCTACAGTACCAGTCAACCGCATATCTGCGGCACCTACGACACCAGACTTGCAACCCGTGCAATGAACACTGCCCCCTCAAAACCCTAAATCCCTAAACCCTAAACCAAGGTCCATGAAGAGCTTCTGAGAAATACGGGTTCCTACTGTTAAAGTAGGGGCCTTAATAATTAGAATAGGGTTTTGGGCTCCTTTATGGTATTCTTATAATCAGTAACCCTGACGGTAATGTTGCTATCTGTGGTCGTTCTTGGATGTGGGTGAGGATCGGGTCTGTCACGATGGATCCTGCTACTGCGACTCTCTGCTATTAGCATCCCTTCTTTCATGAGGCTCCGAAATCCCCGAATTGAGGACATACGTCTCAGATGAACAATAGGCAGTCAGGGAAGGATGGTTGATGTAAAAGGGGTTCCTGACCCAAACTTCCACAAGTAAGGCACCAAAGACCGAAGTCTATGCAGGCTTGAGGTGATGAGTTACATTAGTTGTGTTCGATGTAGCCTCTAAGGGATACCATGCCCTGCTTGAACTCATGAACTCCAAACCACCCTAAACCCTAACCGACTATACCATGGCTCTGGGGCAGTGGCTAACCATGCATTTCCTGGCGTCCGCATGCCTGCGGCGCATGAGATTTTGACTGCAGGGGTTTAGGGTTTAGGGTTTAAGGGTTTAGGGGTGTAGGGGTTTAGGGGTTTAGGGGCTAAGGTTTCTAGGCGATATGACATTTACATTCTTAGCTACCGGCACCTGCAACTAGGGTTTCTCGACCTTGGGCACGGACTAGACATCTGATTGTAAGTAGAACAAAGGCATTCATGACAGTTGCTCATCAACAAAAGTCGAACAACGCACTACCTCTTCAACCCTTAGCCAAACCCTAAACCCTAAACCCTAAACCTTAAACCGCCTAAACCCTAAACCCTTAGAAATGGACGACCCACGATCCGAAACCGTCAACCCTCAACAAACATTCATAGTGAAAGGAAACTACAGGTGGGGAGTTCAGGGTATATAGGGCTTCTATGAGGCTTCCATAAGGTATATAGACCTTCTATAAGGCTTCTATAACGGTAACGACCCACCTGAAAATGTCCTGGATTCATACCACAGAACCAACACTGAAACCGCCCCTTAAAGCCCTAAGCGATGAGGAAACCTCAACCAAGCCCTAAACCCTAAACTGCAAACCCCAAAACTCTAAACCCTAAGCCTAAACCCCTATGGTTACTGTATCCCTAAACCCCTAGAGCCCTAAACCCAACACCCTAAACCCCTCGACCCTACACCCTAAACCCCTAAACCCTGCCCTTCTGCGGCACCCTCCTCGCACATTCAAGCCAAACATCTATCAAACCGTAAGCCTAAACCCTAAACTAAACCCTAAACCCTAAACCCTAAACGAAACCGTAAACCCCAAACCCTAAATTAAATCTTAGACTAAACCCTAAACCCTAAACCTCTATTGAAGCCAAACAAAAAGGCGAACCCCCTGGAGCCTCGAGAGGTTGCCCAGAGCCCGGGCTGTTTCGACCAAGGCCTGTGCGAGAGCAGAAGGGAAGGGTTCATGGGTTTAGGGGTTTAGGGTCTAGGAGCTTAGGGTGTAGGGTTTAGGGTTGAGGGGTTTAGGGTTTAGGGGTTCAGGGGTTCAGGGGTTTAGGGGTTTAGGGGTTTAGGGGTTTAGGTTGTAGGGTTGAGGGTGTAGGGTTTAAGGTTGAGGGTTGAAGGGTTTAGGGTTCAGGGGTTTAGGGGTTTGGGGGTTTAGGGGTTTGGGGTTTAGGGTTGAGGGTGTAGGGTTTAAGGTTGACGGTTGAAGGGTTTAGGGGTTAGGGTGTAGGGGTTTAGGGTTTAGGGTGTAGGGTTTTGGCTTAGGTTGTAGGGTTTGGGGTGCAGGGTTTAGGCTTTAGGGTTTGGGGTTCAGGGGTTTAGGGGTTTAGGGTGTAGGGTTCAGGGGTTTAGGGGTTTAGTGTGTAGGGTTTAGGGTGTAGGGTTTAGGGTGTAGGGTTTAGGGTATAGGGTTTAGAGCTTTGGGTGTAGAATCTAGGGGTTTAGGGTTTAGGGTTGAGGGGTTTAGGGTTTAGGGTGTAGGGTCTGGGGGGTTCAGGGGTTTAGGGGTTTAGGGTGTAGGGTTGATGGTGTAGGGTTTAAGGTTGAGGGTTGAAGGGTTTAGGGGTTAGGGTGTAGGGGTTTAGGGTTTAGGGTTTAGGGTTTGGGGTTCAGTGGGCAGTTCTCTCAATTGGGGTCCCTTTTAAAATCATTTATATAAGGGTGCCGTACTGTTTTTGGGGACCTTGAAAGGGACGCAAAGAGGGTTTTTGAGCACGACGAGGCAGCCCGACCTCGACGTTGTAGGATTCCAGCAGCAGGGGCCTGAAGAGCCTGAAGATGCGGCTTAGGGTTTAGGGATTAGGGTTTAGGGTTTGGGGATTAGGGTCAAGGGTTTAGAGTTTTGGGGTTTAGGGTTTAGGGTTTTGGGGTTTTGGTTTAGGGTCTAGGGTTGAGGGTCTAGGGTTTTGGGGTTTTGGGCTTCAGGGTCTATCTAGGGTTTTAGGGTTTGGGGTTTAGGGTTTAGGGTGCAGGGTTTAGGGTTTTGGGGTTTTGGGTTTAGGGTCTAGGGTTTAGGGTGTAGGGTCTGCATGCCCTAAACCTTGAAGCCCGAAACTTACTTCCCCAATAGGCCAGGGAAATCAAGGGCCTACCAAGCTATAAGAACCCAAGATGTTTAAAGTTGAGGTTGGGTACTAAACCCTAAACCCTAAACCCTAAACCCTAAACCCCTAAACCCTAAACCCTAAACCCTAAACCCTAAACCCTAAACCGAGAACTAAGTAAACCCAAAACCCTAAACCTCCAAGCGCACAGCTGGCCTAGGCCCCGCTGTCCCGGCCTGAAGGTAAAGCACATAAGTCAGGTTTAGGGTTTAGGGTTTAGGTTTAGGGTTTAGGGTTTAGGGTTTAGGGTTTAGGGTTTAGGGTTTAGGGTTTAGGTTTAGGGTTATGGGTTTATAGACCCTTGCTATGGCGGCATGAATAATCAGACTGTGATTGGATAGTAGATTTGCATTAGCAGTATCTAGTGCGACATCTTGAGGGAAGAATACTTATCCTGGGTCAGTAACCCTAAACCCTAAGCCGAGATCAACTGAGGCGCTGGGTGGCTCTTTGGAGGTGACGGAGGCAGCCCTAAACCCTCAACCCGTAACCCTAAACCCGAAACCCAGGATTTCCCAACCAGGGGACTCGAACTAAAGAGCGGGCACCCAAGCAGCCCGCCTGCACAGGAGCTGCTTGCTCTCCTCCTGCAGAAGAAGCTGCGGCTTTTACGCTAAGCCTTGGGTTTATGCGATTTCGGATTTGAGGCTTGTTGTTGAAGGGACTTTCTTAGGGGGTTTAGGGTTTAGACCGTAGGGGGTTTAGTGTCTGGGCCTACAACATCACGGAAACCTCTGAACCCCAAACCCGACATCCCATCTCAGAGCCTACAAGCTTCAATCCGGAACTAGGGTTAGGGCTTAGGGTTTAGGGTTCAGGGTTTAGAGTTTAGGTTGGGTATTGGAGAACTCAGTAAACACTTCTAGATTCCTTAATAGAACCCTTAAACCCTAAAACCCTAAAACCCTAAACCCTAAACCCTGAACCCCAAATCCAAAAACCCTAAACCCTAAACCCTGAACCCTAAATCCTAAAACCCTAAGATTCCTTTTCGAACCCTTAAAGGAACACTAAATCCTAAAAGCCTAAACCCTTAAAAGGAACCCGAGGCCTACAGTGTAAAGCTTGGAAGTCAGGTCCTGGAAGAGCATGTTCGAGGGCACATCGTAGAAGAGAAGGTTCGTGACGGCCGCCACGACGTTGAGAACCAGCTCCTGATCCCTAAGGCTCTAGGGTTTAGGGTGTAGGGTTAAGGCTCTAGGGTCCAGGGTTTAGGGTTAAGGCTCTAGGGTTTGGGGGTTTAGGGTCTAGGGTTTAGGGTCTAGGGCTTAGGGTTTAGGGGTAAGAGCTCTACTATATAAGGCCCTTGGGCTATCTTGGGCCTTAGGCGATGCAGAGTAAAACAGACCCTGAATCGATGATCTAATCGCTATTCTCTTGTCGCTACTGCTATTATGGTCTTAGGGCCTTAAAGTCTTAGGGTCTTAGGGTCGTAGGGTCTTAGGGTCTTAGGGTCTTAGGGTCTTAGGGTCTTAGGGTTTAGGGTTTAAGGCTTTGGGGTCTTAGGGTTTAGCATATTTGGGTTCCTGGCTTGAGGTCTGCAGTTTAGGCTGTAGGCTCCGGTTTAGGGTCCAGGGTTTAGGGTTAAAGGCAGTTTGCTGCCAGGTGTCCTCGCTGTCGCTGATTCTCTTCGCGCCCAACATGTCCAACAAAGGGTCGACGACGGCACTGCAACAGGGGCGGCCAGGCATGCGGGTTTACGTGAAGTCGGGCTTTGTAGTTGCGACTTCTGGATTGGGTAGTGTATTGAGGTTTCGGGGAGGCGGGCTTAAGATCGTTGTTAACCGTCAGCCTACTACACCCTAAACCCTTAACTCTACAGCTCTAAACACCGTAGAGATCCCCTACAAACGCTACACGAACAGAAAACAACAAACTTAGCCAAGCACCCTCCGCTACACAGCACCTCCCAACACCCTGGTAGGTCCCAACAGCTATAACGTAGGGGGCTTAATAATTAGAATAGGGCTTTGGGGCATATTATACTAAAACCATAATAAGGACCCCCCCCCTCCAACAATAGTATTGGTAATTATTGAGGCCCTATATTCTATACTGAACTTAGACCCCTAGCAAAAATTATAATTTTAGCTGTTTCTTAGGGTTTATAGTAGCCAAAGATTAAAAATTATTTCCAAGTACCCCTAAGTATTAACGACCTAAAGACTCCTCAAGTTCTCAGCCTTCACGCCTTCGGGTTTAGGGTTTAGGGTTTAGGGTTTAGGGTTTAGGCTTCTTGATGTCCAAGCCAACAAGGGGGTTGCTGAACATTAACCGTCACGTTTCGGGGCTTTTCTATATGTGGTCCTACAACTTGAGGTCCCTGTTCGGGTCACATGTTTCTGAAAGTCTCAAGTACAGGTATAGTCGCGCAAGAAGCACCTTACCAGCCTGCTGTATTCCCAAAGCGCAGCAGAGCAAGTAAACCCTAAACCGCTGGCTGAGGTTCCTGTGGCAGGAGCAAAGGCTACACATGAAACGCGAAACGTCCTTTAGGTCACAGTTTAGGGAGTAGGGTTTACACCCTGACGGGGCCGCGTGTTACGCCTGTAAGGTCCCAAGCACTAAACCTAAAAATCCCAACACCCTAAATGCCTGACCCCTAAACTTTAAAACCCCAGAGCCTAAACTCCCTAAGCCCTAAACCCTAAAATGGAACTCCTAAACTTAAAAACACTAAACCCTAAACTCCCTAAGCCCTAAACCCCCTAATATAGAGGCCTTAGTAATTAGAGTAGGGTTTTAGGGTCTATTATACTATAACTAGAATAAGGAACCCCCAACATAGTATAGGTCATTATTTAGGCTTCTACATTCTACCCTAAACCCCCTAAACCCCCTAAACCCCCTAAAACCCCTAAACCCCCTAAGCCCCCCCCCCTAAACCCCCTAAACCCCGTAAACTCCCTAAGCCCCCTAAACCCCCTAAACCCCTCAACCCCCTAAACCCCCTAAACTCCTTAAACTCCCTAAACCCCCTAAGGCCCCTAAGCCCGAACAGAACCTCTTAGCGTCCCAGGAGGTTCGGCCTGGAAGCTGCCAGGGTTGCACCGGCATCTGGGCTGATGGCGATGTTCGCCAAAAGCCTGCAATGTTTGGGTTTTGGGGTTTAGAAGTTTAGGGTTTAGGGTAGGGCTTTAGGGTTTTAGGGTTTAGGCTTTAGGGTTTAGGGTTTAGGGCTTAGGGTTTAGGGCTTTGGGTTTAGGGTTCAGGATTTAGGGCTTTAGGGTTTTAGGGTTTAGGGTTTTAGGGTTTA